ACTATATATATATATATATATATATATATATATATGTATATAAAGTCAATCCAATAAAATGTAATGTTAGTGAAGTTATCGTCTGACCAAACAATCGCCAGTTCCTTTCTGGAATGAAAAAAGATTCCAGTCATCATTCAAAGAGATGATGAAATCAGTCAAGAATGCTAAAAGAAAGCTTTCTAGGACAATTATCCTGAGCTATTCATAGGAGCTTGTTGGCATGCCTAAAAGTGATATTCGTTCTGCAACTTTATTTTTATTACAAAGTAATCTCTCTCGAGAATCACCTTTTGACTATCGCTCTTTTTCCTCCCTTTTCTTCCATCTCTTTTTTTCATCGCCATTCTAAAAAATATAGTAAAATTTCAAAATCGTCATCATTTCAGTTCGACATTAGAGATGGCAGATGAAAATACTCTTTGTAATCGCTAAATGATGTTAATTCCGAAGCATTTCCGGTAAAAATTGAATAGCTAGCATGTAACTGAAGTACTTGTCAAAGCGTAGCCGATGCACAAATACATATGGAGGAGTGGACCATACGTGACAACTTAACCGCTTACTTCTGAAGCTTTTTTACCGACTAGGAATAAAACTTGATACAAATTAGTTGTGGGTTAAAACGGAACATATCTCATTTCATTTTAATATCTATTGGGAAATGAGTCGAGGGGAATTGTAAGCTCAACAAAAATATTTACAACTGCCCGTCGTAAAATGCGATATATGATGGATCTTACATCCTCACATCTTTTCCTTTCGGTTCAAAATTTAAATATCCCTTTCTCTTCATTTTTCAAAAATCTCATTCCATGACTGAAAAATGCTCCTTCTCCAGTCTAACTGGTTAGCAATACGAATAACATGTCTGAAATTTTCTGCAAAAGAGTTACTCACATAACAATGATATTTTCTGTTTGGAAATGACAACTTTCTCATCCTCTCTCTACCAATTGAATTTTGAATGTTAATATCTAAATCTAAATTTACGAACAACGCTTCAAATTAAATCAAATTAATATCACAAATGATTCAGACTGGTTCGAAATTGGGATGTTGGAAACTTAGTTCTCTTCACATTAAATGGAAAAAAAAAGAGATTCAAATCGCAGAAATTCTCCTTCAATCAAAACATTCGGCTCTTTCAACTTTTATAAAGTAAAACCGATAGGTTTGAAATTCATAGAAAATCGAATTTTTCGCCTACCCTGTTTTCTTAACCATTAGAGTAAGATAAAATAAAAATACAAATATGGAATTGAATTAAATAAAATCAGATCATAATCAGATTAAAATCAGATTATAAAATCAGGTGAAATAAAATTACAATGAAATAGAATTCAACGGACAAATTGAATGAAATGAATTTTGGAATAAAATTGGAATAAAATGAACAAAAATTAAATGGGATAAAAGCGAACAGATATGAGTAAAAAGGAAGTGTGTCAAACTTTGTTTGAAGTTTGGAAGCACAACAAACAAAGCTATTTAAATCGTTAAATTCAGTTAATTGGAAAAGCTCCAAGTAACATAAATCCTTGAAAGTTCACTGTCTTATTTTTGTTCGAAATTATTATTTACGAAATTTCTTCGAGCCTTTTATTTACGCTCGAATTTTATACAAATTTCAATGAGATTGAAGTTAATAAAACCAACCTTTTCTCACTAATATTGAAATGATTCAAGTTTTCTAATATTGAAATGGACTATTCATTTAGCAGAAATGGCAATGTTAACAGTCCATTAGCTTCATGATATTGCATTAATGCAGTAGATCTATCATATACAGTGAAGGAGTAAGGTATAAGATTTACACTGCAAACAGAGGGAGCAAAACTTCATTGCCAACTTTTCAAAACTTAGTAGTAGAAGAATTATCATAAAGGAAAGTTTGTTTTCAGCAGATTTGAAGTGGATGAAAAAATATTTTAAAAACAAACATCTACTTTCTAGAAAAGATGATTGGTGAGGGATCCTAGCAAAAGATTTATTTAAGCTTACTTCGAGCAACAGCTGTCTTAAAGAATAGCGCCATGAAAATGGTCTTTGAAAATCGCAAAGTTGCTAAAACCAAAAAATCGCAAAATCATCTGATCAGTTGTTTTGAACAATCAAACGTAGGTTTTTTCTCATCAACCTAACTTATTTCAATTTAAATCGAAAGTTGTGTGACGTTATACAACTGTGTCAAAATGCGACACATATTTCGTTTTGCTTGTTGTTTACCAACTTTTTTATTTATTGAAGATGGAGAAATTATGGCTGATAATGTCTATAATGAACGTAACATGCCAATGAACATTACTTCCTTCCTGAAAACTGATTTTAGACCAAAAAATTTGGTCTAAAAGCTTATTAAGACTTCAAATATAAACGGGAAATTTTGTCGATTGAAATCTCAAAATATTATAATTGATGAGAATGGGACTGCTTGAACATTAAATGAATTTGAGGTGCATTTTTATTGTTGCCAAGCAGCACACTGCATTAATCAATATTTTTGGTGTGCAACTACGAAATCCGATGATTTTTTGAGAGTTTGATTATCAACTTTGAAATAGTTAAAAGTGTGAACAAAAAAAACGAAAAAGTACTTCCAGATTTTTGATCGTTCCGATCTTTTCTATTAACAAATCATTGGATCATATTAATATTTGAATTAGAAATCTTCATCGAAAGAGAAATTTTTCTTGTGAAAAGTTTTCCAAACTTCCTGAAGTTCATTCACTGAGTACACTTTATGCAGGTCCACTTCGGTTTCTAATACTTTCTCCAAGTGAGACAGAGAATGAATGAAACTTTCAGAGGTCACTGAAATAGAATGCGCCGAAGAACGGAAAGAATACGTGCTTGAGAAGAGGAAAGTTGTCAGATATGCTAAACAAGTACATGAAAATGAATAACTTCAGGTTGACATTTGACTGCAGATTACTGTTAACGGTGACCTCTTTTTTAAAGGGCAAAGTCTACCTTCCAGCTTTGGTGAGGCATCTCGCGCATATAGCTTTGATTACCCTGCTTGCTGTTCGCTGCCCTCCACTTCACGAATAAGTGTGCAAACCGTCCCTTTAGCCTAACCTATGACCCCTCCCCTTGCGCCTGGCACGGAAGTATTTTGTTCTTTTTTGGAATATTTTCTCGCTTTTCAATCCCTGTAGATAGTACCACAACTCCGCCTCCAAAAGTCCATTAATCAACCAGTGCTAACCATGCTTTTTCCCATCGGATGCTCTTTTTGTCTTTTAAATACCTTAGTGAAAATAGCTCTCAGCAAACGACAGCAGAAAATGCAGAATGACAGAGTTTTTAGTATAGCAGACGGTAAAAGAGATGCGAAGTAACAAAACCGATATTTTCAACGGTCGCATTAAATGTTGGTGAGGTAAGAGGTCAAATACGTTTTATCATTGGGGTCAAGTGGAAGTAATGAGCTGTTATATAATTTCGCGAAAAAAATTGAAATAATATGTAATACAATATCTGAGACCCGATGGATTGAATGTAATTGCCAGATAAGAGACTTTTAGCTGGAAGTAATTTGTGGATTGTCCTGCGGTACTGCCATTTAAATATATTTCTGGGGGTATCTGCAGAAAATATCTGCAGAAATACTTTAATTGTCTGATTGAAGAGCGTCGTGTTTGGTACTTTCTTGTGTTTGCTGGAAAATGCTTCAAAAAAGTTATTCCAGATTGCGCAGGCGTGATGGTGTCGTCGCGTTCCGTGCTACTATGTGTACGTACAGTTCACACATCATGTCGCATGAACAGTAAGCGAATTTATGTTCTTGTCATTACTGATCTTTTTTATCCGTATCACAGACGTCTTAAAACAGTGGCACATTAGTCTATATAGATGTTTTGCCATTTTCTCACTTATCTATTTAACTATTCTTTCTTTTCTAGAAAGAGGACCGTTGACGATCGATGGTTGGTACCCACGTGATCACATGCCAGATGATTATCCAAAAAATGAGGAAGAACGTCGAGCAGCGGCGATAAAATATGGGATGAGGCCAGAAGATTATAAGTTAGCTGTGTTATTATATATTGTGTGATAGAAATATGAATAATAGATATTTCCAAAACTTCCGTATTGGCTAACATTTTACTGCGATTGATAAACTGAATGTATTATAATATTTGAAATGATGCTTTAATTTTTCTTGTAGGCCATATGACAAAGACGATTACTATAAGTATGCAGGAAATTATCCGGATTATGGTTGCGTCACCTATGACCATAAGGATCCATATGAAAATTGGAGCGATCCACATTACCGAAGGAATTGGGGTGAAGGAGTAAGTTACATTAGGCCTGTTTGGGTGATTTTAACAATTCAAATTACAACATCAATTTATAATGAGAGAAAACGAGGTCTTTTTATTTTACCAATCAATATTATTGTTGATATGAGTAATTATTTGAACTTCACATCTGAAGAAATATTTTTGTTAATATCAGTATTATTTTGGAGAGACCTGCGTTGTTACATAGCACATTACCTGCAGATGAAACGACTTGAAATAGAAGGGTTTACCAAAAGGTTATCTCTGAAATTAAAAATAATATTCTAGCTTCCCCATTTAAATTTTGGAAATTTCAGATGAATATCCAAGCAGTGATGCATACATGTGATCGTGATTCCTATACCAGTATTGATGATGAGGAAACTTCAATTTAAGTGTAATTTTCATTAGTAGTAAAGAATTTGTATTGAAGGTGCTTAAGAGTATAAGTTTTTTTAGTTTGTTCAATTTATTAAAATCTATGCAATTTTTGTGTTTTAGATGGACCAACACGGTAATTTTCTGTCGTCATTTAATTCCAGCGCTGATCTTTTGCTGGATTGGTATTCAGACATGGCCAAAGGGTCGTAAATGGAAAAATGACATTGTAATGTGCTTTGATTTCGATTGTCGTACACTTAAGTTATAAATTTAAAAATCCTGCTCATTTAATGTTGAATTGACGTATTTACTTATCGAAAAAAAAGCTCATTTAAGCTCAATGCTAGAAATAAATCCACAATTTTAGAAGACTTTTAATTGTGTTTTCAGATGCTGAAGCAATATCCTTACGATATTAAGCGGGCGTATCCATTTACTGATCCGCGTATCTACCCAATTACTAATTACACGTTTGAACCAATGGATTGAGGAATTGAAGGCAGAAGGCATCTAGAATAGATTCAGGAGTTATTCGAGAAAAATTACAACTCGATAAGAAGAGTTCATCATGCGTTAACTTGCAGCATTGCTAACTTACAGCATTTCAAATGCTGTTTAACTTCAGCATTTGAAAATCTAGATTTTATTTTTAAAAACTGTTGACGTGAACATTTGTCTGGTAATAAAACGTTTATCAAAAATGTCTTTTTTTTGCGAGTTTTACTTCTGTTAATTTATTTTTCTCACCTGTATTAATTGGAATCACTGCAATACCTTCGTTCGGTTCAAGTCGTGCTTTTGTTTAATATCTCTCTCCATCAAATTTCTTCAGCTTTTAAATATTCTTAACATTCCATAGTCATCGCAATTATCGTAATTATACCTTAATTGTTCTGAAGTTTAAGAACGAATGATAAATTCGAAAAAGGAAATGTTAAGTGAAAAATGTTCCTATTTCGTTTCACAAAGCGTAGAGTTTAGCTGATCATCCATCTTTAAGAGACTGCAGTCAACATTCAAGTTTTTATATAAAAATTGATATCTGATCCTTACTTTTAGATATCAGGACTGGTTTTGTTTGACGCTGAAATTTGCTGAAAATTCCAGATGTATTGATTTCTTTTATTCAAATGGATCTGTGAGTGTAAACCTTCGGATGTTTGTTTGTCAGTTTGTCTGGGAATACTTATAGGACTAAATCAAGGTTGTTCTACCAGAACAGGAGGAATATGTTGTATCTCGAGGATTTCCTGGAATGTGAGTTGCGTGCTGGAGATTTGAACTTTACTGTTACGATTTAAATTCTCTTTATTGAAACCATTATGTTTCAATTCCTTTATTACAGTACTTGATCAATTACCTGGTGAATTGAGAGACAGGAGCACTGAAGTTCGAATGTTAGACCTGCAAGCACAGCGTAAGTGACCAATAGAAATTTCTCTTTTTTCGAAGCTTTTTTTTAATGCTTGCCTTTCTAGATTCTATTGAAACTATTGACACAATATTCTCCGGCAGGGTTACATTCCAAATATGTTTGAAAGTTATGTCGTGTTTAATAAAGTTGTAAGATTTACTAAATTGTATTGCTTCTCGCAAATTCGAACTAGTTTTGTATGTTTTTCGTTTATTTCAAAAGGTTGTTCGTAGTTTTTCTAACATTTCTAACATTTTTTTAACTAAGTGAACGAAACGTAAAATTTCATAATGTTTCATTTATATTCAAATTCAGTTTTCAGAATTGCATGAACGCGCCAACAAGGAAAGAGATGAGTTCTTCTCTACAGGTAGTGTTCTGCCTCATGATGTTAAGGTAAAACGATACAATGAAATCTTGGAGGTGCGTTCTTAATTACATTTTGTGGTCTCGTGCATTCACAGTTATTGTGTGGGAATGCTTAAAATAAAATTTAGAACCCTGGATTAAGGTTCGTTGTATATTGTAGAATAGGTCTTAAATTTGTTCCCAAAAATTATTAAGTTTCACACCAAAACTAATTTAAATTATTGAAGAGTTTAAAAGCTTTTTCTTGTAGCTTTATGCGCAAGCGAAGGCTCTTTCGGACGAAAAAGTGGCAATTTTGGATGTTTGCCATTCATTGTTGCTAAAATATAGCCAAAAGTTGAACAAGGAAATACTGCATTTTAAACTGGAACTTGAAGCTGATAATCCTGGCATCACTGAACAGATCGAAAGAAGTAAACATTGAAATTTTCTTTTGCCCATGATTTATTTAGTGTTTTATGAAGCAACATTGAATTTACAAGTATTTCTTTTCAGATATGTGCGTTTCACATTGTTTAGTATGTTCACTTTCTAATCCTTTTCTCCTTTGTTTTCCTTAGTCAATGCTTGCTTATTTCAGAATTCAATGAGATAGAAAAAAATCTATTTCTTCAACGCAAAGAACGTAAGCTGTTTGTTTCAATTTTGTTCCGAAATGAACACTTCTGGGAAACATTTCATACATATATTCCTGAGGAGTAGATATTTTGTTTATTTTTTTTTTTTTTAGGTAAGACGCAGATATCGGGAAGCCAATGCCAATCTGGCGGGCATGATAAATGGAAACTCAAATGCACTGTCCGAAACATCAAGTACTGGTTCCTCTCGTGGACAGCGAGGTTTCTGTTCATATTCAGTCCACACTCACTGTTATTTTTACTTCTTATACCCATATTGTTCCATGCATCTATTGTAGGTTTCATACCCAAAGTTGATTTTAGGACAGTTGAATGACACATGCGAAGCTGGACTGGATATGAGTGCTCAGACGCAACAAAGTGGAAGTCATTCATTGTTTTCAGCAGCGGGGGCACGCGATGTTGAACCTGGACCAAGCGGTAGCAGAGTGCATAATGTTATCAGCGAGCGTGATGCTGATTTGCCCCCGCTGAAGGTAATCGTGGTGAGTTGACTGGAATACAAATCCTCTTGCCACACTTGTCTAATGCGCTATCTGTAATATCTTCCATTCATAGCCTTATTGCCACACAATAGATTTTGAATCGTGGGTATGAATTGACATTGTTGAGTGAATTCAGAAGTTGATTTTGCGAGCAAATAACTGAGTTAGGAACAAATAACCGAGTTTATGCTTTGTGAAGAACTTTCATGCATCCATTTGATTTAACTTTTACAGCTGATCATGAATTTAATTCGTTTTTAAAATTTATGCACCGGAGCTCATATTATAGTAGGATTACCCAAGCTGGTTGCCGAACATACTGTATAAAATCGAATAGTAAATGTTGAACTTTGGAATTGCCTGAGAATGAGGGGCTAGGCTGCATTTCTTTTGCAGATGGACGCGTTCAGTAACAGTAATAATATTTTACTGATGTCTATATTATATTATTTTAATGTTCATTCTTGGGTGTCTGCATCCGTGATTGGTTGTATTAGCTGGACAAAAAAACACTAAGATCAGTGTATTCGATAAGTATACGGATTTGGAATTGAGTAATGATATCACGGGGTTATGAATTTTGTGTCTTGAATTTACTGTAAACAGCTTCGGTATAGTATGAACGGAAGCACATTAACTTTCGTTCATATTTAAAAACTGCGGTTTGTTTAAAACATTATGGTATTAAATGAATCACAAAATTGTAATTCCAGTATTGCGATTGCACTGTGTATCGTTTCATCATTTTGCTTCCTTACTGATTTGGATACTGTAGGAGATGAAAGTGTTCAAACACGACTAACATTGGGTGCATTGTGCCCTAGTACCATGACTGATTAATGTAAATTTCATAAATTCTCAACATTAATAAATTTCGGTGCTCATTTCACAGAGACGTTCACTTGTCACTCCTCAAAAAATCATTGGTATCAGCAATGCTCATTCATCAGCGGCAGTACATGCTCAGTCCATAGCAGGCAGTACTCCTGATCGTGGTTGGTTATTTGAATTGTCAAAATTTCGTTTATTTTCATTTTAGAATTACTGTTGTATGGTATAGGTTTTCGGAAGGAATAAAAATTTTTGGTTTGAAAGTCTTAAGCTTATTTTTGTTTCCTATTAAATACAAATTTTGACCTTCATCACTTCATATTTTTATTAAAGCAGTTTAATTTTCACTTCTATAAGCCGTTAGACTTTTGCATATTTTAAAAAGAGATTTCAAAGGTAACGGTTGGAGCAATAACCCAAGTCAAACTCCATCTACTTCTTCACAAGTACAGTTCTCAGTGCATCCTCCGAAGATCACTTCAAATGTTAGTTTCATAGAAATCAATGGATTTCAAATTGTATTTTAAAAAAAAACTTTTGGTTTTCATTTGAATAAAAGATCTTTGAAAAAACAGTTCATCTCATAATGCTCGCGAATATACCGGCAGTCATGTAATGTCATTGCGGTTTCGTTATTTGATTACCACACCAAAAAAGACTTTTTGATCTTCCTTCATATCTCTTGTGTGTTTTTTAAATCTTTTTAATTTAAATAAAGTTGCTTCTTTTTTTTTCATGCTTGTTAGATAACTGACAAAGAAAAGAATGCAGTGCGACTCATGTTATCTGATACTTTTGCCGCTTCGGTTCCTTTGAACTTAGGTTTAGTCAGATTTGATTGACCGTGTAAATACTTTCAAAAATTTTATGGGTGTCTTTCAGTGCACCTCAAGTTAAGTACGTCATAATACTTCAGTTGTAATATGAAGAAGTTCATATGTGTTAGACAAAGTTCCTTTGTTATCTTTTTTCTTTAACCTGCACTCAATGCCGGCAGAATTGTGATAATTTGTGAAATATGTATAACTGAAGTTTGGGATGATTTTTCGCTACGGGATTTGCTTTATGTAAGTTTTTGCAAATGTTACCACCACGAAAGCGAAAAAGAGAAAAATGTCGTTTTAGCCAAGTACCTTTACTGGAACATCTGGACATTCTGCTCCGGGACAGTCAATGATGTCACTTGCCGCCCAAGAAAGTCGACATGGACGTCCAAGAAAGTAGCTTTTCGTGCTGTATTAATTTTCATGGTATAACTGTAGCCATCAAAAACCGTTCCAATGAGCAGTCTTCGTTTCTTGCATATCAGTTTCTTTGGTTCTTCGGTTTTTCTTTAAAATAATAGATGTTTATACTTTAGGCTAACGTCTAGAGCTCAAGAAATGCTGTACACCATGCAACGTCATGAACGTCGTGCAACAAGTCTTACTTCTTGTTCACCCGAACTAATGCAGGGGAGTGACGATGAATCGGATTCAGATCGACGCGTATGGTGTTTTTGTCGTGAAGTAAGTTCCCATTTTTGCTTGAAATACTGATAAGGTATGAATTAGAAAAGGAAAAATCCCAGATTGCTACTTTTGCAGGAAGATTATAATCATTGAACCTTTGTTTCTGTGATAACCTACACTCCTCGCAACGGCGTAGAGCGGCAGGAGATAGTTTGAATTTGGGCAAAAAATGTGTGAAATTTTTTTTACTAGCGAAAAGTCAAGATGGTGAAAAAAAACCACATAGTGGGTTTTAGGTGAAAGTTTCAATGCTGATTCTGAGCGAAAATGCTGCTTAATGTCTTTCTTCTTACTGAGCATCTTCAAGGGTTGTTATGCGAGAAATGCAAAAGGAGTGTAGATTGAAATAGGAAGATTTGGAGAAGCTCATAGCATGTGGATTGAAAATAATATTGTATAAAAAATTAAGTTTTTCGTTCTGTCATGTTTTTCCCTTCATTTTCTCTCATTTTCTTGCGGTCTGTCATTTTCTTGCATTTTAGGGATAAAAAATAAGTTTGGCAGGTAAATTATATCAGTGGGTAAGTGGATATAAACCTACCTCATCTGTGTTAATAGGTTATTATTTGTGTTACCTGAAACTACCTTCTTCTAATCTTAAACTAGACTTAGAGAATACTGCCGAATAACATAGTGATACTGATATGACCACTGTTTTGTGATCTACCTGTAGCGTAACTGTAAGTGATAGCAGTGTAATGAAAGAATATGAAAAAATATTATTAAGAAAATAGTATGGAGTGGAACTATGTTCAAAAACTTTTATTCTATGAGATTGGGCATCTGAAATTCCAAGAAGAGTATATGAATGTTAGTGACGTAAGCGAATTTCTAAGCTTTGCACCCCAGTTTTCAATTGCTATGAATCTTTTTGATACTTGGTGGCTTATGAAAACGAGCTGAAGGTCTCGGAGTTTGCTTCATTCTAAAAGCTCTTCAAGGACTTTACACGTCAGTTTTCAAGGATGTAGTCCTGAATAGAAATATTAGATGATTTATGAACGAGTTTTGATGGGTGATATGTTGGTAGTTTTGTAAGATAACATTTTGAGATTGCTTGTGACCAACACATTTTACAATTGCTTGCTGTTTGATTCTTTTTGTTAATTCCTTTGGTTTTTAGAAAGGATATGGCTCAATGGTGGCTTGTGATGATCCAATGTGTCGTTATGAGTGGTTTCATTATGGATGTGTTAATGTTATTGAAAAGCCTAAAGGAAAATGGTACTGTCCAGAATGTGCACCAAAACATTCAGGGTCTGAAATGACCGGCATAAACAAGGTGTAAACTGCAGTGTTTTTTGGATAACCAACCCGTTTCTTCATGTCAGATTTAGGTTCTACTGCTGTGAACTATGATCATTTATGGGTTTGAGACGAAAAACTTTAAATGGAGTTCACAAATATTTGTTGTCGGATCTGAGCGACTCACGACTTAAATGAATTATTGGCTTTGTGTGCTATTATTCGGTTATAAAATTATTTAATAACTCTAGTACCTCTTCTTATTGATATTTTATCACATGCTTTTTATATTGGTGCTTC